AAACTTTACGAAACTTAATAAAAAAACGTTTAAATTAACGTTTTTTTATTATTTTTATTATTTTTTTTTTGCAGGAAATCGGCTCCAAATTGGATACCAGAATCCTGCAAGTAAAGTTTTGAAGTTTCGAAACTTTATGAAACTTAATAAAAAAAACGTTTAAATTAACGTTTTTTATTATTTTTATTATTTTTTTTTTGCAGGAAATCGGCTCCAAATTGGATACCAGAATCCCGCAAGTAAAGTTTTGAAGTTTCGAAACTTTACGAAATTTAATAAAAAAACGTTTAAATTAACGTTTTTTTTATTAGATTTTATTATTTTTTTGCAGGGAAATCAGCTCCAAATTGTACCAAAATCCCGCAGGTAAAGTTTCGATTTTCGAAACTTTTTGACGCAAATTAATAAAAAAACGTTTAATTTAACGTTTTTTTATTATTTTTTATTATTTTTTTTTGTAAGGAATCAGCTCCGATTCGGATACCAATCCCACAGGTAAAGTTTCGAAGTTTCTTTTCGAAACTTAATGAAAAAACGTTTATTAACGTTTTTTTTTTATTTTTTTGTAGAAAATCGGCTCCGAAGCTTGGATACTGAATTCCAGGTAAGTTTCAAAATAAAATTTTCGAAACTTTATTTAAAAAAACCGTTAACTTTTTTTCCTTTTTGTAGGGAAATCGGCAAAATCTCCTTAGTCAGGTTTCAGAAGGTAAAACTGAAAGATTTTATTAATTTATCTAACGAATGTTACTAACATTCATTCTTATTTTTTGTAGGGCCGGGAAGCCGATAGACAAATTTCGGTCTTCCATTCTGAAGGTATGAACCTTCAAAATTTTTTATTTTATTTACTCTATTTTAATGAACGCTAACTAACGTTCGTTCTTAATTTTGTAGGTCCAGAACACCAAAGTGCGGGGCTCCGATTGGCAAAATCTTCATATTTTTGAAACTTAATAAAAACGTTAATTTTAACGTTTTTTATATTTTTTTATAGGAAATTGGCTCTGAATTGGCCAATCCTATAGGTAAAGTTTCATATTTTCGAAACTTAATAAAAAAACGTGTATTTTAACGTTTTTTAATTTGTTATTATTTTTTTTTTGCAGGGAAATCAGCTCTAATTTGGATACCGGAATCCCGCAGGTTAAGTTTCGATTTTCAAAACTTTTTGACGAAACTTAATAAAAAATGTTTAATTTAACGTTTTTTTTTATTATATTTTATTAGGGAAATCAGCTCAGATTTGCCATCCTACAGGTAATGTTTTGATTTTCAAAACTTAAAACTTGAAAAAAAATGTTAACGTTTTTTCTTTTTTTTTGTAGGAAAATCGTCTCCAATTTGTAGAAACAAATGGGAATTAAGGAATTTAACGTATACCAGATTTGTTAGAAAGTTGGGATGATTTTTGGTGAAATTGTTTTATATGTATATGTAATATTTACTGTAATTTGTGATACAATTCAGAATAAATTTTACTATAATTCAGAATAAATTTTACTACAAATCAGAATAAATTTTTACTACAAATCAGAATAAATTTTACTACAAATCGGAATAAATTTACTACAAATCAGAATAAATTTACTACAATTCAGAATAAATTTACTACAAATCAGAATAAATTTTACTATAATTCGGAATAAATTTTTATTGCAATTCAGAATAAATTTTACTACAATTCGGAATAAATTTTACTACAATTCAGAATAAATTCTACTATAATTTGGAATAAATTTTACTACAATTCGGAATAAATATTACTGCAATTCAGAAAATTTTGCCACAAATTTACCATAATTCAGAATAAATTCAGTAAATTTATGAATATATTTTTTTAAACAATTTGGATTAAAAATACTAAGCAATTCAGATACAATTTGGATATTCTGATCGGCATCGATCGGCCTGCCAATCAGAACTTTGCCAAAATTAATAAATCGGCCATCTTTATCACCAAATTCAGCCTAAAATTGGACATCCGATTTCTAGCCGATTTGGACTATTTTGATCAGTGGGGGAAGAGGAAGGGGAGAACGAAAGGTAAAGGGAAACGAAAGTGAAGGAGAAGGGGAAGGAGAAAAGAAGGGAAGGGAAAACGAAAGGAAGGGAGGGTCTATTTTTCGCAAAATTCATGGAATAAGATTATAGTTTTACGTATTAGTGATATATATCCATCTAATTATAAATTCATGATTAATTAGTATTTACCTTAATTCCTATTTCTTCTTCTATTTCTTCTTCTTCTATTTCTTCTTCTCCTCCTCCGATCACTTCTGCTGCTGCTGCTGCTGTTGCTGCTGCTGCTATGGCTTTGGAAACAATGCCAGCGTCGTTCTCTATACCTATAGGTCCGTCGATCCACTCTCTGCTGCAGGTACGCCCTGTGTAACCTGTCTAAAATAAAAAGAAAAAAATGTAAATATAAATTTAATGAATCAGTAATATATACAAAGTATCATAATTAAGATCAAATCAATTACTAGTTTGCAGCCAGAATTCATCGCTTAATTTATTAAAAAAGCGAATATTGTAATTGTTGGGAGAGTGGATCGGGTGACCATCAGGATTTCCTAAAATAAATAAAATTGGTTTTATGTGAATTGGTTGAGAAATTTAACGTTAACCTCAAATATACAAACCATTATTAATCCTGGTCAAATTTTCGAAACCTATTATTAATTAAATATATTAATAAAGTATTTACTAATATTCACAAATTAATTACAAATGGTAAAAGATTCACCTCTCTTCAATGCCCTCCATTTATTGCGGCATT